CCTGCCGCAAAACTGGGTGTAAATGAACTGCCGCCCCTGAAGCATCAACGCTATTTATAGATGCATTAATTAGTAAATATTCAAAATTAGCCACTCCCAAGCTGCTCCCAAGTCCCAACTGCCCAACATAAAATAAATTCCTTGATTCTCATCACCGCCCGACTGAATTTTAAAATCCTCGTGAAAACGTTTTATTTTTCGTTATACAATATAAATGTACCGCCCGACAAAATAATTCAAGACAGTTAATTTTTTCATATTTTATAGAGAGTTTTTATTGCCATTTTAAACTTCCAATTTGAAACAAACAGAATTATGAGTGAAATTTCATTGTATTTTAAAGAAACTCAGTCATTCTGTCATTGTTCGTGGAGATACGAACTATTGATATATAAATTATATAAATATAAAATATAAAAAATAAATCTCCCACTGTCTTCGACATTTCAAAGTGTAGACTGTGTCTAGTGATGAGAATCAAGGAATTTATTTTATGTGTTAATATAAACCAAGCCCGTTTAGCCGTTTAGCTGCCTTAAAACGGTGGTTTAATAAGCTCAAAATACAAAGCATGCAAGTCTATACTATAGATTCATCATCAGTCAACAACCAAACTAAAAGTATTGAACCTTATAGAACGATGGTTTTTATTTGTTTACAACTATACATATTCAACGGGTATACAGTATATGAGTTTAACTGTTATTTGATAATTACTGCATCAACCGCCCCTTGTTTATACTTTGGAGGTTCGTATATAATATCTATCAAGTATCTTTGGTTCAGAACTTGACTGATAGGCCTATATGGAAATCCCACTGTTCGATTCAGTGAAGAAATATCTCCTAATTTCTATCGATAGTTTTAGTAAAATGTCAACATTATTGCGATTTATGGCCTTTGAAAGTCAAGCGAGATGTAATTGTCTGAACGAAAATATAGACTAGCCCATACCTTTCGCCGATCATAACTTCGGCCCCTTCGGACGTATCTTCTTTGTTAAATATTCTTGTTCGAATCTCTATCAATAACACCATTTAGAGTGTTATTTTTCAGCTTGTATCTTTTAATTTGCTTCTTTTATTATGTTATTCCATTTCTAGTCTGACTTGACGTGAACTAATTTCAAAACGCAGAGTTTCAAAACGTCAAAACATTTGGTTAATGATTAACATTTAACCGAATTTAGCCGTTGATTGACAACTACATAAAATACTAACCAATCCGTTTTTCCCGTTCACCAGCGGACGGGTAATTCAAAAACCCCTAGTTTTGCGGCAGACGGTATTTCCTTTGCTTCCCTAATTTTCGCTGCCCGTAGAAATACCGCCTGCCATGCAGGCTACACCCCAGGTAAATTGCTGATTATGCACAAAATAACTAATATGCCTGGCAGAAATTAAATATTCTTATTTCCTAAAAAAAATTATCATGGGGTGAAAAACTATGCTTAATTTAATATAAATATTGTTGATTTCATTCAAATGCGCCACCGTCGGGCAATAAATATTGGTCAAATGCCCCACTATTTTGCAATAAATTGCAATAAATACTATATTAATAAAGGTTAATTGGTTCAAATTGCCCCAACTTGGGGCCAAAATGCTGATCAAAATCCCCAGGGTGGGGATGCAATTGATGATCAAATACCCCACATATGCCCCCCCCCCACCCCCCCACCCCCCTCTGGGGGTTAACATTGATAGGTGCATTACTTTTTATCGCCGAATCTCGCAAATATCATCCAGTTATTGTAATTTTACATAATCATAAATGGCTGAAGAAGATTTCAAAGAAGGTTTCATCCACTTTTGTAACAGTGCAGTGTATTTTACCTTCGATATTGTGTCCTTTGATATTCCGCCAAATTGCCGCCATTTTAATGGCTCGCCGCTTCTCTGTCTGATAAATGCAACTTCTTCGTTTCCATATGTATTTAGATTACAGTATCCAAGAGTACTTCGTTGTAGAATAGTCGCAATCCAAAAATTGGCAACATTTGTCCCATTAGGAAGGAAAAATCCTCCCGTATACCATTTAGGTTCAAAATAAAAAACAAATCATTTGAAAGTCACGCGCAATCTTCGCGAAAACTTCTCGTGGACACATGACAGGGGGGGTTGAATATTTTCACGAATATGTTCGCCAACACAGAAACATAACTAAATATATTGTATTTTTATGATTTATGACAAAACTACGCAAATATTTATTGTTTTTATTATAAATCATAAAAATACAATAAATACAATATATTTAGTTATGTTTCTGTGGTGGCGAACATATTCGTGAAAATATTCAACCCCCCTGTCATGTGTCCACGAGAAGTTTTCGCGAAGATTGCTCAAATGATTTGTTTTTTATTTTGAACCTAAATGGTATCCAGGTGATCTTGATACGCGGAAAAATACTGGCACTAGTTGTCAAATAGAAATCCATTTTATGATTAAAACAACTGAATATCTCCTGTAATATACTTTATTTCGATTCCATATTTTTGTCAGAGCTATAGTTCCCATAACCAAACATAATTACAAAATTTCAACTAGTTTCATAAAGAATAATGAAAGATATAATTGTCTGAATACATCAAAATGGATTTCTATTCGGACAACCCTTTCTGAGCGCTGATTGGCTAAAATACGAACACGAGATCACCTGGATACGGGAGGATTTTTCCTTCCTAATGGGACAAATGGTGCCAATTTTTGGACTGGGACTATTCTACAACGAAGTACTCTTGGATACTGTAATCTAAATACATATGGAAACGAAGAAGTTGCATTTAACAGATAGAGAAGCGGCGAGCCATTAAAATGGCGGCAATTTGGCGGAATATCGAAGGACACAATATCTAAGGTAAAATACACTGCACTGTTACAAAAGAGGATGAAACCTTCTTTGAAATCTTCTTCAGCCATTTATGATTTTGTAAAAGTACAATAACTGGATGATATTTGCGAGATTCGGCGATAAAAAGCAAACAAGACGGCAAAATATGGCTGAAATCGTGTTTTCGTGGGGGGGTAAGTGAAATAAAATGTATTGTATTTAAAGAAAACAATGACAATCCTTATGAAATCAACAATATTTATATTAAATTAAGCATAGTTTTTCACCCCGTGATTATTTTTTTTAGGAAATAAGAATATTTCCTTTCTGCCAGGCATATTAGTTATTTTGTGCATAATCAGCAATTTACCTGGGGTGGTGCATAGTCATTTTCTGGTAAAATATTATACTTCGACAAATTTTTCCTGACACTGCCATTTCAGGGCGGGGTCATTTTCAGGACTTTCGCCCCGGATTCAGGTTTTCGCACATATGCCATGTTGACCCGCCATGGTCATTTTACCCTAAAACAGTTGAGATTACCTGTCCTAAATGAATCGCATACAAACTCATATACAGGTCCTAGACTAAGCCTTTACTTTTCGTCCATTTTTAGCTACTTTTTCAATTTTTTAGTAATAATAAAAAGTTAGTTACTAACTCTACTCTACGTCAAATGAGTAGTTACTTACTCTACTCTACTCATTTGACGTAGAGTAGAGTAGAGTAGAGTAGAGTAGAGTAGAGTAGAGTAGAGTAGAGTAGAGTAGAGTAGAGTAGAGTAGAGTAGAGTAGAGTAGA